CTTTTTTTAGTTCTCAAAACAATAAATTAATAAAAGACTGTTATCATTTACATATGCAAAACATAAATAAACAGGAAATGTATAAGCTGAATTACTATAGACCTTATGTATTATTTCATTTTATAATGTGTTTATTTATACTTTGATATAATGGCAGAGACTAACAGTTATTAAGATCTAGATAAAATAAGAAACGGAATCAAAACATGTTTGTAAATCATGTTTGTAAATCATGTTTGTAAATTTCTAAGCCCAAAAAAATATTTTTTTTTCGCTTAAAAATTGAATTCGATAACGTAAATCGATATTTACTTAACAAACATATGATGCATGATAAACTAAACAAAAATTTAATAATTTTATCTTTGATTAATACTTGTTAGTCATTACTCGGAATTAATGTATTAGTCTGCTGTTACATATTTTAATCAATAACAACGAAATGAAAACGCGAGATATGTCGGTGTTATTGATCAGAATACATATATAATTTCCCGAAATTGATAATCAAAATTTTCTGCCAAAAATAAAGTTTTTCATATGCATTATTCCAGTATTTTTATACTTCTCTATTAGATTACTGTTACTATGAAGCACAGAACAAATACATACTGTTAAAATTATCAATATAATAGCAATATTTAATATATGTGTAATAAACAACACATATCACTATTATTTTTACAGTGAAGTATAAGTACATAACTGTATTCAAAATATATTAAATATCTCTCCTATCTGTGCATATATAGATATTATCAATTAACACAGGAGATTAGATTAATTCCAAGCAATGGCTAAATATGGCAGCAACTATTGATTTGTATCATTGGTTTATACAATTGCAATGATAATTTGTACTATTTATGTATTTTATTACAATTCGATCACATATATTTGTGATCACATATTGTAAAAGAATCTGAATAAAATTTTATACATCATTAAACAAAATAACGAACGAAAAATTTCTGTTCCATATGCATGCATAGAATGTTTAAATTATCTAAAAACGCATGATATACATTATATAACGCGACATTAGAGCAGCATTCGATTGGAATAAAAATTTCTACCAGATAGTTATGATTTTTTTTTGGCACACTATATTTCTTTGTTTTCTCCTTCTTTTATTTAAATATTTTACTTAATATATTATAAAAAATTTATTTAATAATAATAATGCTACTTAGAATTAATTACAATTAGAAATTTATAAATTTTAGTACTTGGTAGAGGAATATTTCATGAGATTTTGCGGTAAACTGACTTAAGTTATCTTAAATATGTTATATCTCGAGATAATCTCTCTTTTTTCCCTTTCTGTAATAAAGAAACAGTTATTTAAGTTAAACATACAAAATGATACCATGTTAATTGCGTTTATCATTTCATATATTCTGTTTAAAAATACAATTTTATCTGTTATTACACATATTTACACGAATTTTTTTTTGTATTATGTCAGAAAAGCGGTATGTTATTCTGTTCTATAGCTTATCATAAAGTTTTGTTATCATCAAACTTAAATTGTTTCCACTTAAATTAAAAAATTGTCACGATTATTCGATTATCTTCTTCTCGTACATTCATGTAGTGTAATGTACAATGTATATCATTAAACACTCATTCCGCAGGTCAGCAGGAGCTCTTGTCGGCTTTACCAGCGATATTGGCTTGCCTCATCTCCATTCTGTTGGTAATCATTTGCGTCGGAGCTTTCAAAAGCTCATATGAAGAGATTTTAACAAAATATCAAACAAGATATCTTAGCAAGATATCGAAATCTTTCCGCTGTCAATTGCGAGATGAATCTTGATCGCGACTTAAACGTTATGATATTTTTCAGGACGCGGCAAGCAGAACTGCAACGATTGCGGAAGATCGATGAAGATGAGGAGGTCTGTCTCTTATAATCCAAATAAAACCATGGAAATCAATTAGAAGAAATTCTATATGCCTAATTTTCAGAAATGTCGTACTTTGTATGATATTCATATATCATTTCGCATTATTTACATACTTGTAATTCACCAATCCACTTAGTAGATATTACCCTGGTAGAAATTTCAAGCATTTTTTGAGCACTTGCTAAACACTTATACCAATCTTTTATGTAAGAATTCATATTTACGAAAAACTTTAAAGCGGAAATTCGTATCTTTTCTTTTTCATTTTTATTTTTTTTATAAATCTACTATTTCTTGCATTATAAATCTGCACGATAAGAAAAAACATCACTTTCGACTTTTTTTAAATTAAACTTTTAAACCAATCAATTTTTAAAAATACATTAATTAGTTAGAATAAAAATCTTTGTTTTTTTAAATGCACTAGTTACGTATGATGTTCCATCACATATATTGCTGCACTATATATTATGCAGACAGGATTTATGAATTTATCCACGAAGAGAAAAGGAAACATAGATACACAGAGTGTAACAAAAATGTTCAATAAAATACAAATAATAGGGAGCATACAGCTGTTTATTAAATAAATAATAGAATAATGCCGGCTTGACGACAGCTGTATTACTGCTGACCTGCGGAATGTCGCAGTCAAATAAGTGTCTTCCATTTTGGTTATTGTTTTTTGATGATTACGTCGTCCAAAGTATTATACTAGAACGAACTATATCGCTATGATATATGTATGGAATATATTAGAGTCCTTATAATAGAGTCTAGACATTGCTGAATCGATTACTAATTGGTTCCGTCATTAACATTCAAATGACGCTATCATTAAATATCGAGAGCCAATAGCAGGTTAATGTTGGAAAAAAGCGCGGTTTTTATTGGATGTTAACGTTATCGAAAATGTTTAAAAAATTCCGCAACAGCAGTATAGATTAGTTTACACATTAAACAAATATATCATTACATAGATGATTGTCACACTGTCATTTTTGCTCACCTGTAAAATTCTATTCTACTCCATCTTTTATCTGAATCTTGGATCATTTAATTGGATTCAATTCAACTGTATCGGCTTGTATGACAGCAAACAGTCATCTAAACTGCGCGATAAACACGGCGACATATTTTCGATTTTGGCTGTTAATTACAAACGGGCATGCACGCGAATGCAATGTCGAGACTTTGTTGTAGGGATTCTAGAATATAATTGTTGTACTGTGTAATAGTGCTGCGCGATGACCAAAATATAAGTCTGTTTTTTAGTTCTGCACTAAACAGTACTATAACTTATTTTCTTTCTTTCGCCAAATATCAAAATATACTTATTTCAAAACTTTAAGTTCCAAAAGATACATTAGTTCAGCCACAGAAAATAGATTTTACATATGAAGAACAATGACACGCGTTAATATTTTGTTTAAGAATGTAATCCTTTGTAAAATATTCAAATGCTACTTTCTACATAGATTAATTTTATTTGATAATCATGGCATTTTCTCTACAATATTTTCTATAAACTGTTTGACATCGTTTAAGCTACTCATACAGTCACATTTATTGATTTATTAATCGAACGGCACATTAACATACATTAATTAAAAATCGTTCGGTGTTGCGCGTTGAGCATACCTCAACTATTTTTATTAACTGCTAATATGCAAATATATTTTAAAATCTCTATATTAATAAATTCTTTCAAGGAAAAATTACTTTGCATTAAAGAATGTGTGACCGCACGCCCGCGCGTGTGCGTGTGTGTTTGTATATACGTTATCATTGTCATTATAAAGATATTGTTCATGAATCTTCTAATGTCACGCGTTAATTATATTCGAAATCTTGTTTCCTCATTAATTACAATATTATGTGATATTGCTATAATTGATGAGCATGTAACAATGGCGAAACAATTAACAGTTTCGAATGTTTGAAAAACGTTAAAACTTGTCATTTTACAAACTTCTAATCTCTAAATTCTTGTATTTAAAGTGGAATCTTTCTCTAAAGAGTGAAAATTGTGTCTTTAATAAAACATAATCTATTAAACAAATAATTAAATTCAATAGGTATAATAATCTAATTAAGTCTTGTAAAATTTATTATAAGCTTTGCTTTACTCGCTACTCTATCGATTTATTCATAAATATACGTATGATTTCGAATGTTTATGCAAACGATAACTGTAACGAGTAGGACTGTATTTTCGTGCGCATATGTATATAAAAAAATTCATCTCATGCACAACTATGATTGATCAATTTCTTTCGGCTTAAGACTTAAAAGCTTAAGTAACAGTTCATTGCACATGTGAAACTCGTTATGCAGTCATGTTGTGTGTTTATAACGATAATTTCGCTGCCTTTTTCCAGTATAAAATATCAACTATCGTTATGAACACATAACGACTGCATATAAACGAATTAAAGAATGCAGGGCTTTTACTGCTTCGGTCAGCGCGTCTATATTATGATGACCACGTACGAGATGATGCTTAATTTTAATAAAAGAATTTCAAAATACGAGTTGCTTGTTTCAAGAAAACGGATCAATAAAACAAAAATTTTATTTTTATTTAAAAAAATTCTTATTCTTGATTTGAAGACATTGTTATTTTTTACATGGTGTTCTTTCTCTCTTGAATAATAATAATAATTATTGAATAACAAAAATATATTTTTCTTGATTTAATTATAATTTTTTCATGTAAGCAAACTATGTTGATTTAACACTATTTAACATTATTTTACAATTTATATTTTAAAAATAAAGATATTCCTAACATAAGAATGTACTTTTATCCTCTGTGTGTGTTTCAAAAATTAAAAATTTTAAATTTTCATTAAATTTTAGAATTGTATTAAATATATGCAATGAGATGTAGAGTAACATAATTTGTTTGTCAGATGGTTTATTTAATTTACGCATACGTACTAAGGATATCAATATTTACGTTTTCTGACAAGGAGACGTGTTATTATTTCTTTTTTCGGTTTCTTACCAGTTTGAAATAACGACACTTCTCCAAGTAATAGGCAGTTAGTCGTAAGTAATCGATAATAAAGGACAGTGTTAACGAAGATGGCCCAAGAGCGATCCGAATGGATAATGCAATTTCGCAAAGAATCTGGATTTGACGCAAAGAGTAATCAGTTATTTAACTGTGAATGCTGCAGACAAGAATCAAGACCTGCTTTTAGTGATAATCATTTAAAAATTATACGTCATTTATACAAGCAGCATCATCAGAAATCATCAGAAATAATCGCAAACCCAGAATATGAAGCCGTAGCAAAAAAATTTTACCTTCGACCCAAACAGTATGTTGAAGTTGGAAAATGTCGTGAACTAAATTGTGACGACGATGTTAAAAGTATGTTTGGTAAAGCATTACCATTTAAAAATCATTCGATAACGCATCATGAAGAGGACAAAAAAAGTTTTTTCGCAAAAGCAGTAGAAATTGTTTCTGGACAAAAAATATTGGATAATTACGAAATAAAGGACACTGAATTCGCAAATTGCTCATTTTGTCGAACACCGTTACCCTTGGAAAATTTGGACTCGCACCCTGCTGAAATACTCTCGACCTTGAGCGATCACTGGAACGAACATATTAGGTATAAATAAAGTATTCTTTATATTTGCCCAAAAGCATGGAAAGTTGATTTTATACATTCTATTTGTTTTGTTTTAACAATTTCATTATTAATTCAAAAAACATAAATGATCTTACAAATAGAATTACGCATTTTTTTCATGAAATTGTTAATTAATATTATATAAATGCTCTTTATATAATTTATATCAGAAAACTGTGTTTAGTACAGTCTCTGTAATCATTATTTTATCATACGTACAAATACATGATATACTTAAGAACTAAGATTAAAATGTTAAAGCTTTTTTTAATCCAGCAATTACAGTTAACTCATAAAATAAAATTGGTTTTTAATTACAGACGTCCAACGCTATAAAATTCAAACTTACAGAGTTCAGACTTCCAAAGTCTTCATTAGTGATAATAAATAATAACATTTTTATATACCTCCTTACAAAGTGAACAAACTTAAATATAATATATGATAAAAATTATCGCTCTAAGCGAATCTTATATATACTTATTCCTGCATTACGATATTACAGATCGGAATTGATATCCAATCAGAAATTTAGAAGTCCTAATTATAAAAGTTTGTTTTACTAATTCATCAGTTGTTATCGATAATTCAGCCAGTTGTTGACTGAACTGGATTCACGATAAAACCAAAGAATTAATATACTTTTACAATATATATTATGTTTATGTTCGTTTACTTCTTCATAATATATAATAAAAATTATTTTATTATATACCTTTACTTTGTAAGCGATTATATAAAAAAAAAATGTTAGTATTTATTATCACTAGAGATTTTGTAAGTCGAAACGTTTGAATTTTATAGTGTTGTGCGTATGTAATTAAAGACAAATTTTATTTTAACAAATTTTAAGAGTTAACTGTAATAGCTCGTTTAAGAAAAGACATTATTAATCGGTAATTTTAATGCGATGTATACACGAGCTTATTTTTCTATATTTAAATACATTCCTATGTAACTTTTAAGGCGTTCCGTAATAACATTTTTATTAATTGAATTGAAACATGAAAAGTATTAGAAATCAGTCAATTGTACAATCTTATATAAATTTCAATCAAATGCAAGTTTCACTCGCGCGTATCAGATGATTATATTCGTACGTGTACAGAACTGGTACTAAGAATAAAACTCCAGATATATTGAATTAAACTTAATAGAAAGAATAAACAATATAGTGTTTTATGTTTTTGCCATAAATAATAAATTAATTTTTTTAGTAATGAACATTATGGTAATTATATGATTTACACATATTTATTATACCTACGCGTTCCTTGCTATTACAATAACTAGTAATCTACAAATCTTTGTAGACAAGTAATCTAAAGTTGGCATGGAACGTAACTAATATAAAATCAAATTAATTAATTATATAAAATTAAATTAATAAAATATATATATTAAATAATCCATATTAAATAATCCTATGAATTCCACAGAAATGTTCCGGAATTATTACTAAACACAAAACTGTTATTAGACGAAGCTTCCATTCAAAGAGAGTTAAAAGATATTGAAGACAAAAATTTAGAAGCAAACAAAATGATGCAAAGTATTTTTGAAAATTTTAAAATTGAAGAGATCATAAGAAGTAAAGAAGCGGAATATGGTTTTGCATTTCTTGATACGTTGTTAGAAACGTACCATATAAGACTCACGCACTTGTATGGTATAGCAAGATGTAATATAAAATTATGTCGTGGATATATTCCAATAATTAAAAATAAGTTATATCATATACGAAATCATTGGGAAGTACATCACGGGCCGAAAAATAAGATATACAATGAAGTCAAAAATGATAGAGCTATACTAAATATTTTTGAAAATTACAAAATAAAGGATGGAAATCTAGCAACCTGTTGTGAATATTCTTATTGTAAATATTCAGAAAATTTGGAAGAAGACACTCAATTGTCACTCGACAAATTGCAAAAAATGTACAAACACTGGAAGGATGTCCATAGGTACGAAACAAATATTTTTTAGACATATCAAAACGGGCAAAAGTTAATTACGTTTTTCTTGTTTTATTTGTATAACTTCATAATAATCCGAAAGTAATAACAATTGTCTGACTTTGGTTTTGTTATACCAAAATACATCTTATGATAAACAAATAGTAGTATAATCACAAAGCAATAAAACACGAAGAAGCGCCAATTATGATCGAAATTAGAAACATGAATATGTATATACTCTAAATATAATCATCTTAGAAATGACTGCGCAACAATTACTTTCGGCCTTTCAATACATAGTCAGTGTGAAATATTATAATAACTTCTCAAATTTAATTAGAAACATTAATTTCATGCTGCTAGCATCTTAAAACCTGTTGAGAACTTCTTGAGAGCAATGTAACTTTTTATTATTTAAAATACATACATGTATATTTGAAACTATATATAATCGTTTTGTAGACACACGGGACCCTTCCTTTATGTGTTTCAATTTAACATTTAATTTTCATCATAATTGGTCTTACTTTTTACTTAATCAATTTACTCAAATAAATGATTTTAATTCTAATTTTAATATTTATACTGAAACATTTTTTTAATAACAGCGTAGATATCAGTTACTACAGAAAACAACAAGAAGCAAATCTAATAAAGAAATTGGAAAATTTAAAGAAAAAAAGGCCAGAAGCTGCAACACAGATATTACATCAAGCGGAAAGGTATGGGATTCAAGAAGTACACATTGTTGAATAATTATTCACTTTTCTTATATTAAATAACATATAAAAATTGAATAATTTCCAATAAAAGTATAATTTATATCATGTTATAATAAATGTAATCAAATGTAAACTATGTTTCGCGTAATTTAAAAAAAAAATTTGATAAATCACAGTATATTCAAATTTTTTTTTTCTACAAATTTAAAAAATTTTTTACATAATATCGTCATTATCATATTTCTTATATGCAGAATATAAGCAAAAATTGTTGTAAATACCAATATTTTTTGCTTATATATCGCATACGGAATTTGTGATGATAGATTCAATAATGAAGGCATGTAAGCGCAAAGAATACTCTTACTATCTCAATAACATTTACCGAACGGCCATTTATTTATCTTAATTAACTAACTTTTTATTACGGTAATTGCAAGAAATTAACTTGTTTGTTTAATTTGAATTGTTTCGAGTACCGCACTTTATATTTATAATCAGACATTCTAGTTGTATATCTATAAACATTTGCATATTAGATTATGTGATTATGTTTCTACAGCATTATATTTTAAAATTCAATTTCAAAAATCTTAATTTTATACAATCGTAACGCAAAATAAATTAAAAATTTAAATATTACCGAATTGATAATGTCAACACTGAATTCGAAAAATGTAAATTTAGATTTCATAACTTAATAGGATGTACTCTTTTAATTTAAAATATTGCGTATTTTAACATTTTTCTGTTTTTTTTTAATAATACATAGTAGTTCAGTCTTTTTAATATGTAAATACAGGCCTGAACAACCCAGTTCGAGTGACGATGAAGATATACCAGGGTTTAGCGGAACACCAGGAACTTCGACGCAAAGTACTTCAACTGTGGAATACAGGCCTAGACAAGGTACTTCCAGTGACGATGGGAGTGTACCAGTGTTAACGAAGATAGCCCAAGAGCGACCCGAGTGGATAATGCAATTTCGCAAAGAATCTGGATTTGACGCAAAGAGTAATCAGTTATTTAACTGTGAATGCTGCAGACAAGAATCAAGACTTGCTTTTAGTAATAATCATTTAAAAATTATACGTCATTTATACGACCAGCATTATCAGAAATCATCAGAAATAATCGCAAACCCAGAATATGAATCTGTAGCAAAAAAATTTGACATTGGCATACCCAAGTGGTATGTTGAAGTTGGACAATGTCGTGAACTAAATTGTGGCAAGAAAGTTGAAAGTATGTTTGGTAAAGCATTACCATTTAAAAACCATTCGATAACGCATCATGAAGAGGACAAAAAAAGTTTTTTCGCAAAAGCAGTAGAAAGTGTTTCTGGACAAAAAATACTGAATAATTACGAAATAAAGGACACTGAAATCGCGAATTGCTCAATTTGTCGAACACCGTTATCCTTGAAAAATTTAGACTCGCAGCCTGCTGAAGTACTCTCGATCTTGAGCAATCACTGGAACGAACATATTAGGTATAAATAAAGAATTCTTTATATTTGCTCAACAGCATGGAAAGTTGATTTTATACATTCTATTTGTTTCGTTTTAACAATTTCATTATTAATTCAAAAAACATTAATGATCCTACAAATAGAATTGAGCATTTTTTTTCAAAAATTGTTAATTAATATTATACAAATGCCCTTGATATATTTTATATAAGAGAACTAGTGTTTAGTACAGTTTCTGTAATCATTATTTTATTATACGTACAAATACATAATATACTGAAGAACTAAGATCAAAATGTTAAGGCTTTTTTTAAAAGAGCAATCACAGTTAACTCATAAAATAAAATTCATCTTTAATTACAGACGCACAACGCTATAAAATTCAAACGTTTCGAGTTACAAAATCTCTAGTAGTGATAATAAATACTATCATTTTTTTTTATATAATCCCTTACAAAGTAAAAAGGTATATAAGAAAATAATTTTTATTATATATTATGTTTAAGTAAACGAACATAATATGTATTGTAAAAGTATATTAATTCTTTGGTTATTATCGTGAATCCAGTTCAGTCAACAACTGGCTGAATTATCGATAACAATTGATGAATTCGTGAAACAAACTTTTATAATTAGGACTTCTAAATTTCTGATCGACAAATTTTATGAGTTAACTGTAATAGCTCGTTTAAGAAAAGACATTATTAATGCGTAATTTTAATGCGTTGTATACACGAGCTTATTTTTCTATATTTAAATACATTCCTATGTAACTTTTAAGGCGTTCCTTAATAACATTTTTATTAATTGAACTGAAATGAAAAGTATTAGAAAT